GCCCCAGCCGGTTGAGCTATAGGCGCCGAGCCTCCAACCCAGCTGTTACCGGAACTGCTCGGCGGCTTGCTCCTCGGCTTGGCTTCTCATGCGGATCTTTCTTCGGTAGCTTTCTAACTTTTCCTCTGCTTTCCGTTTCAGTAACGCCTCGTGACCAAGGCCACTTTTCCCTGTTCAAACAGAAAATTCTGAGGAGAAACTTACTGACTCTGTACTTCAAAACACAACACCGTAAATATTTACAAATTAATATACAGTTCTCATTTGAGTGGAACTACTGAAAAAACATGTGAGTTGAATAGAAGAAAACAGCAGGTTGCTTTTGGTTGTTGTTTTTTAGGGATTTTAAATATAGAGTAGGAACATTTATTTTAACAGTTCTAAAAGATATTTCTCCAGGCCTGATGATTTGATATAAAAATCAAATCCATCATACATTCCCCACCAGTCTCTACACTAAGGGCAATCGGAAATGTGTACAACATGCATACAGAAACAAAAATTACAAGCTAAATGATAACAAAAATACACAAATCAACTGGACCCTAAAAAAATTTCTAACAAACTCTTCTTTCCCCACATCACCTAGAGCTTCTTTCTTCAGTCTCATTCTGTTCCTGTTCCTTTCTTTGCTTGGCCATGGGTTTTTCTTTTTTTTTTTTTTTTGAGACAGTCTTACTATGCCACCCTCGGTAGAGTGCCATGGCGTCACAGCTCACAGCAACCTCCAACTCTTGGGCTTAAGCAATTCTCTTCCCCAAGTAGCTGGGACTACAGGCCCCGCCACAACACCCAGATATTTTTTTGCTGCAGTTGTTGTTGTTTAACTGGCCCAGGCCAGGTTTGAACCTGCCAGCCATGGTGCATGTGGCCGGTGCCATAACCATTGTGCTATGGGAGCTTAGCTGGGTTTTTTTAAAGCCCAAAAAAACATGTTCTGATTTTTACAAAGATCATTAGTCTCACCTTACAGTAATTTTTTTTAAATTAGAAAAATAATACAAACTGCTGTACTTTTATTTAAATATAATAAATAAATTTTTTCTCTTGAATTCATCTAAAGTAGTAACAAAACATTTAGTGGATAAATCTATCTCAGAAAACTTGTTAGGACATTTCAACAGAAAAAAAAAAAACAGCATCATTCTTTTAGTGGTTACAATAATCCCTACCCCCAATATTTGTATGATTTAAATTTTATTTTATACACACTAAAACTTCCTTTAATTTCTAGTTTAAAATCTTTAGAAGTTTTGGCTCAGTGCCTGTAGCTCAGTGGCTAGGGCACCAGCCACATACACCGGAGCTGGCAGATTCAAACCCAGCCTGGGCCTGCCAAACAACGACAACTACAACAAAAAAATAGCCAGGCATTGTGGCTGGTGCCTGTAGTCCCAGCTACTTGGGAGGTTGAGGCAAGAAAATCACTTAAGCCCAAGAGTTTAAGGTTGCTGTGAGCTATGACACCATGGCACTCTACGTAGGGTGACATAGTAAGACTCTGTCTCAAAAAAATAAAATAAAATAAAACAAAAAATAAAATCTTTAGAAATTTTAACAAAATTTTACTGAATAAAATTTTATATTTATTCTTATAGTAAGAAATGTAACAGTACCATCAGAAAAAAGTATTTATTGAATAAATATACATGGTAGATTTAATTATAAATTTATTATTACTGGTAAATACACTCAAAACCAATTACATACCTGTTTTGACATTGAGAGGAATTGGTTCAACAATACCATCTCCTAAAAAAGAGAATGAAACACAGACAGCTTTAGAAATTCTTCCTCATCCATTGTTAAGTTATTCCATATGCAAAAACAAATCAGCCAAAAGATTTTGAAGCACTGCAATTTTTTCCTTTTTTTTTTTTTAAGAGACAGAGTCTCATTTTATCACCCTTGTTAGAGTACCATGGCATCATAGCTCACAGCAACCTCAAACTCTTGGGCTTAAAGTAATTCTCTTGCCTCAGCCTCCCGAGTAGCTGGGACTACAGGTGTTGCCACAATACGTGGCTATTTTTTTGTTGCAGTTTGGCGGGGGCTGGGTTTGAACCCACCACCTCCGGCATATGAGGTTGGCGCCCTACTTCTTTGAGCCACAGGCGCTGCCCTTTTTTTTTTTTTTGGCAGTTCTTGGCCCAGGACTGGGTTTGAACCCACCACTTCTGGTATATGGGGCTGGCACCCTACTCCCTGAGCCACAGGCACTACCCCAAACTGCAATTTTTTAATACCAAAACAGTTCTATTGAAAAATAAAAGAAAAAAAAGAAATTCTTTCTCAAACTAAAGGCCAGTACAGTATGCATCTTTACAATGCTATATACATATCACTTCCCATTTCAATTATATTTGAAACCAAAATTTGAACATCAATACCTTACATGTAATCAATTATCTCCCTTGTCTTTGACTATCTAGTCATCAGAAAGGCTGACTTGTAGTCTCCTATGCCACCTGAAGGTGGGTTTTAAGAAGTGACTACACCAGCCAAGCACAGTGGTGCATGTCTATAGTTCTAGCTACTTGAGAGGCTGAGATAGGAGGATTGCTTGAGCCCAGGAACATGAATCTAGCTTGGGCAAAATTGTAAGGCCCTGTCACCAATAAAGAAAAAAAGAAGGAAGGGACAAACTGATAATGCAGGTCTGACAGAGTGACAGACTTAAGAGAAAGCAAAGTAATTACAATAAAAGAGAGGAAAGAAAAATAGTTTACAGAAGCTACTAGACATATATAGCCTAATACATATATATTCCCTACATCTTAATAAGCAATTTCATTTCAAAAGAGGGAAGTGAGAATTGAACATCTTCAACTGGATGATCACTCAGACATTTGCCACAGGTACAGAGAAAGCAGGGCAGAGTCCTGCCATCATCCTCAATGCTGTTTCACTGTCTCTGGCCATTGTACTTCTTAGCCATCCCCTGTCACCCTTCTTTGCTGCTTCCATTGTAAGCCACATCCAACCCTGCTGTTAGTGCCTTCACAGTTAAGATGGGCTGATAAGCAGCTCTTGATGGCATGTTGTGGGGTGTAAAATGAATGTTGAGAAGATAAATATTTTCCATAAGGCTCGTTAGCACATAAGAGACTAAAAAGCTTAAGTTGTCTTAATTTCTATGTAGATGGATAAATATTAAGCATCAGCTACTTGGTCCACATTGATAAATCAGAATTAGGTGGTTCGGAACACCCGTCCATCAGTGAATGGGACTTACCACTCTTGCCAAGAGCCTGACCACTTTTATATCCCATCTTTTGGAGCAAAGCAAACCCTTTGTTTTCACAGCCTAGTGCATTCTTCAGCCCAATGTCACGTCTTTCTTGTTCTTCTTCTTTTAAACTCTTCTGCCTATTTTTCAAATTTGCTTCCTGTTGCTTTTCTTCTTTTCGACGAGCTTCTCGGATTTGCCTCAGCATTGGTAATCCTGGTCTGACGTCTTCCCTGAGCAATAATGGAAGAAGTAGTTTAGATGAGTACATGAAGTTTTCTCCCAACTTTGCCAATACTCTCGACACTAGTTATTATTTTAGCACCATCTCCATGAACATCTTTGTTACCACTGATACTACAACATAATCAGACTTCCAAGAATCCCTGTTTTAGTAGAAATGATGAAGGCTGATGCCAGGTTGTAGCAAACTAAAGTATAGAGCTGAAGAAATTAGAAATATTAAGTTTAGACTAATTTTTCTAGGAGGCTGGCAACAATGAAGAACAAAAATGAACAGGAACTAGAAGAGACTAACATGAAATTTTTTTTAAAAGGAGGAGGATTTGCCTCCTCATCTATTGCCTTGGATGAGGGCAATAAAAACAATCAAGGGTAGAAGTAAATGGTTAATGTTAAAAGGAAGGGGCTCCTAGTATATTTGTATGGAGACATAGGAGGTATTTCCATAAAGTAGGAATAATTTTCCAACTTCACACTTAAAATTAATGCCACCATTTAATAATCCACACATCTTTTACGTATCATGTTAGGTGTGCATGTTTACTTACTGGACATTGATGAAGGAATCAGACATATAATCCTCTTCTTCTGCCATATTCAATTTCATATGGCAATAGTATCTATAAATCAAATAAAGTGAGAATTACTCTCTCTCTACATATATATATATATATTTAATTTATCAAAATGGAAATAAACCTTTATGTATCCCGGCCATGAGCTCTCTCTAGAGCTCTAATACCTATTTGAGGGCCCTTTGAACATCTTTATCTGTGGAGCTCACAAACTCAACAATCCAAAGAACTCTTCACCTTTCCCCCCAACCTCCCACCTTCCCTGTATTTCCACCTTCTGTCATCACTATCTCCCCCTCGGACCTCTTATAAAGCTCTGCCAATTCTTCCTCCATAATATTCCTCACAAGCATTTTTTTCCTACGGGTGTGACCACTGCTTTAGTTCAGGCACCTTTTCCTTGGCCCTCCTCTTCTGAACCATCCTCAGCAACCCCTGCAGAGGCTTTCTAAAATTTTCTTTTATCATTATTTTTTAAATACAAGTCAAGGCAGGTTACTTCTCTATTTCAAACTCTTCAATAAACTTGATCTTGCAGGTGGTGGAGGACCAGTCACTCGAGCAAACTCTGAGATGTCATCCTTTACAATTTGACCTAAGTCTCTTTTAGGATTAATGATTCAAGCCACCTGGGCTTCTCATTGCCCTCAAACATACCACAGACATTTCCCTCCTCCAAGGCCAAGCTATTCTTTCATAAAAACCTGTCCTGACCACTCTAGGCCTCTCTCCATAGCAGTTTATGTTTAAGCTGCTCATTTGGAACTTGCCAGAGTTAATACTTCATTTATATGGAAATATTTTTTGGGAAAGTTTCCATTCAAAATAGTTAAAATCATGTAATTATTAGTTCCTACAGGATTAAAATAATTATCTAGAAAAGTGCTTCTCAAACTTTGTTATGTATACGAATTGCCCTCATATCTTAATAAGCAGAATTTAATTCTGGGGCTAGAACCTGAGGTCCTGCATTTCTAACAAGTTCCTGGGCAAGGCTGCTAGCAGCTGGGAACTTACTTGGTTTCTAACTAGAGAGATAAAGTGTACTACACGTATGTTGATTAATCCTGCCCATCATCCTTCCCTTTGGGAAACAAGCCCTCTGGCTTCCATGTGGTTCTAGTGGAGGTGTCGATATCAATACCCTCTATTTCCTTGAGCACAAAGATAGTCAATTATAGTATGGTATGTCAGCAACACGGGAGGGGATGACCTAATCAGGGAAAATAAGCAGTTTTTCCTTACATGATATTAATATGCAGGTTGTCGGGCAAAGCAGCGCTCTTCTTTGAGGTTTCTGAACTGGGGATATGTCAGGTTGGGGTATGGATGGCCATTTTCTTGGTCATATGAAGAAAATCTGTCTGAAGAATGAAGCCAAGTAGAGAAAATAGAGAAAAGCCTGAAAGCAAGAAGTCACTAAGTCTAGTTTCCAAGGCCCTGGTTTCTTTGATGCTGTGATCTAGCATCTTCCCAGCAAAATGGACTAACACATTTCTGCATTATTTAAGCTCCTATCAACTGCAACCAAGAATCTGTATAAGTACATTGTATAAAAAAAAAGATTACAGTATCAGTTTTTAATATTTTTACTGTATATCTTCTCAACTAGGCTATAAAACACAAAGACAAGTCTATATCCTCTCTACTTACCACGGCATCCCCAACATCATAAATTATTATTAATAATAAATGTTTAGCTAAAGTGAGGATAGAAGGGTCTTTGATATTTGTGATTTTGTAAAGAATGCTTTTTTCTTATGTCAACATGTCATTTTTAATCACTTTTTTAAAAATGTACTATAAACACAGAAAGTACATAAAACATATGTGTATTTTACTTAGTTACTGTGAGGCAAATGCTCTTGTAACCATGTGGTACCCTCCAAGATGGTCCCCAATGATTATTGGTTCTTGGCTTGCAATATCCTTGTATAGACTCCTCCCATAGTGAACAGGATTGACCTGTAAAACCAATAGGATTTTATGGACATGATGGAGTTGACATTTTTGGTCATAATAGACACTGTTGCTCTTAGATCACTCTAACTCCAAAGTTAGTAGATGACTCACTTGAAGCAAGTCAACTGTCACATAATGAAGACACTCAAGCTTTATGGAGAGTTCACACAGGAGGAACTGAGGCCTCCAGTCAAGGGCCAGCATAAACTTGGGAGCCACATGAATGAACCAGCTTAGAAAACGTGCTTCTTCCCCATCAAGCCTTCAGATGGCTGAGCTTGGCTAACATCTTCACTAGAACTTCTTAAAAGTCCAAGCTAACAGCCTCGGTGCCTGTGGCTCAAGTGGCTAAGGGGCCAGCCACATACACCCAAGGTGGCGGGTTCGAATCCAGCCCGGGCCTGCCAAACGACAATGATGGCTGCAACCAAAAAATAGCCAGGCGTTGTGGGGTGCGCCTGTGGTCCCAGCTACTTGGGAGGCAGAGGCAGGAGACTGGCTTGAGCCCAGGAGTTGGAGGTTGTTGTGAGCTGTGATGCCACAGCACTCTACCCAGGGGGACAGCTTGAGGCTCTGTCTCAAAAAAAAAAAAAAAAAAAAAAAAAAGGTCCAAGCTAACAAATTCCTGACCTGCAGACACTGCGAGATAGTAAATGATTATAGTTATCTTAAGCTGCTAAATTTTGGGAAAGTTTGTTGTACAGCAAAAGATAATCCAAACCATCGCTCACATCAGGAGAGAGAAGAACCTCATCAGCTACCTGGGAGCCCTCTTTGTCTCCTACCCAATCAGCCTGTTTTTGTTCTAAGAATAGTCACTATTTTATCTTTAATGCAATCACTTACTTTTCTTTACAGTCCCCCCATCCATATGTGTACATCCTTAAACATCATAGTTTAGTTTACCTATTTTGAATTACAAGTTAAAAATATTTATGGTTACATACAGCATTTGTGGTAATTCACCCACTGTCTCTAAACTTTAGATTTCTCATTTGTAATAACAGGTTTTTTCCCCAACACATGATGGTTCAGCACTCACCCAGTATATCATATATTTTTATCATTTAATTATCGTTAACAACTTTATAAGGTAGGAATAATTCCGCTTTCCAATTGGAGAAATTAAAGCTCAGCGTGGCTAAAGACTTGCTCAAAACCACAAAGAATTCCGGTCTCAGTGGTCTTGCTACTGCAAATAGGACTGGTACAATATACTTCAGCATCATCCATTCCCACCACACTAAGTATAAACTTCGCAGTATATCCTGGCACAGATGGCGGTGGGTGGCTTGGACCAGAGTGATAGCAATGGAAGAGGTAGGATCTGTCTGAAGGTAGAGCTTACGTGTTTGGGTGATGGATTTTAGGTGGAGTGTGATGAACGATGTCAATACTACAACAGGCTTTGGGCTTGACTACATGGAATAGGAGAGTTAACATTTTTTAAGAGTGGGAAGACAGCAGGAAAAAGGTTTTTTTTTTCTATAACGGCGAGGAGGTGGAAACAAGTGCTTTTTCAGACGTACTGGGAGTTCCACTACATACACAGGTGGAGAGAGGGACTAAGCAGCTGGATGTACAGTAGAAAGGTGACAAGAAACGCGTGACTCTCAAACAGTTCAGTCAGGAACCGCTGATCCCTTCCCTCCTGCGTTCCTCTTTGCTACAAGTGTCCCACAGACGCGACCATCTACGGATGGGAAAGAAGCTGATGGTGTTGCAGGGTAATCAGAGCCAGACAACGAACACCGCCTTTTACCATTCTATCGATCGCCCCCAGACCTTACCTGACAGCTCTGCTCGCTCTGGTCCCGTTCCGGAGAACACGCGCGAAGTACGCGTACCAGCCCGGAGCACAGAACAGCCCGGCCTCTGCTCAGACCCAGCTTCGAGTCGCAGCTATCAATTGGAAATTTGCAGGAGGCGGGGCTAGCAGGAAGTGGTGAGTGCGCTTGCGTAAAACCAGTTTTCCGCGCACGCGCTCACTCCTCACTTCCTGTGGCCCGGAGTGTGGGAGGCGGGGCGTCCTGGTCCCTCGGTGGCTACCTCTGACCCTGTAGCTCAGCTGATCGGCCCCAGACTGGGAGGTGAGGTAGCCAGAGCATGCACTTTGACGCGCACACACCTCCTTATCCCCTAGTACATTTGCAGAGGGATGGGGAAGAAATCTGAGTTTGTAATGAACATGTTCCCCTTTTCTGTCTCTGTACTTGGTTCCGAGCCGCATCCTCGTGCGGTTGACAGCCCCAAGAACCCCGCGGAGGCCTCTTGCCATTCCCCCGCCGGCCTGGCACTACGCTACGGTCCTTGGGGTAGCCGGGTGAAGCCAGACTGTGAGCGCGCGAGGCCTGCTGGCCGCGTTCCCTGACCACCCGGTGCTGTCACTGACGCTGCAGCCTCGGGGACCGGTCGCCCCACTCCTTTCTGTGGAAAGAATCTTGGAGGCATGCACTTTGGGATCTTTCTGCTGGGAGGTTTTGACCTTTCCTGAGCTAGATGCATTTGGAGAGGGGCAGGGGGGCTATATACCGAGCGGTGGTTGTGATAAAAAGGAGAAAGGGTGGTCAGGCCCAGCCCTGGTGTTTGATCTTAGTGCTTCAGTTTGCTCATTTATAGGACGAGTTAATGACGTATGTGTTACTAGGCATATTTTTTCTAGAGTAATGCCCTTTTTGCAACATTCAGTTTTCCTTTCATCCTATTATTCATTCTTCCTCATCAAACACAGTTGTATTTGTTTTTGTTTGTATCTTTGTCCTTTAAAAGTAGCTTCTCAGGGTTTGCCTCACTTTATTTTCCCGCAAATGAAATGGGAAGTAAAGTCGTACTTTTCTTGGTGGTTATATTGATTATGCTTGACTTTTAACATTAAAAAATCCTTACAAAATCCTTTGTACTCTGTTGTTTTAAGGTGTGGATTTAAAACCTGAGTAATGGAGTTAGCCCACAGTTTGTTGCTAAATGAAGAAGCTTTGGCTCAAATCACCGAAGCCAAAAGACCGGTTTTTATCTTTGAATGGTTGCGATTTCTTGATAAAGTCTTGGTTGCTGCCAACAAGGTATGATGTTGTTTTTATTCCTAATTGGATTACCATTAAACACATAGAGATAATGTGTTTATGACTTGTAAGAAAACATACATTATGATTTGGAAAGATTGTGGGTCACTTAGGAATTTGAGAACACACGTATTCCACAGATGGGTATTTCTAGTATATTTGTTTTCTATTCAGTGGCAAAACCCAAACCTCATTTAAATCTGCTCATTGCTACTTCATGTCTCTACCCGGGCAACTCAGTGTGACTGGAGCAAAATATGACCTCATGGCTGGTGTGACTTTAAATACATCATCACCAAGTGCAGGTAGTTTGACAGTCTGCTAAACAATCCCAGTATCTTCCTTGATCTCCTTGAGGAGTTAATTATAGGGTTTTATTTTTATTCTTTCTGTTTTCTTCCTTTATAATTTCTTTGACTTAAGTAGCTTATTATCAGAGTGTTTTGTTTTCTGCTTTTGAAATTATATATATTGCTCAAATATCTGATGATCTTTGGCTGTCTGCTTAAATTTAATAGTAGTAAAAATGTGGCTGGGGGGACAGGTCCAATTTGATTAACTGGATCTCACTGTAGGCTGATTTGGTTCCTCACTTTAGTATCTTAGGTTTCTCTAGGCTGATAATGTCTCAGAAGAGACTTTTCTACTCTAGTGTGTGAAGGGTTTATGGCTAGCTGCCTAGGTTCTAGGTCTGAGACTTAGGTGAAAAGCCTAGAGACTTCAACTCACTATGTAAACTTTTACTTAATCCTCCTATTTTCAGTGCAGTTCCCCACCCCATAGCTGTGCTAGGCATCCTCTAGTCCAGAGAGGTAATATTTTAGTCTTTCCAGAGAATAAGATTCCTGTCTTCTTCCAGAATAGAGGAGAGAGTCTTAAAGCTTCTTAAACAGTCTCAACCATTTTTCCCATTTCTGGGGGCAACTTTACCCCCACCTCTAGAACCACCTAAGACATAAAAAATGATCTTTTAGAGGTCCTGTGTTATAAATTGGGTCTCTTGTCAGCTTTCCTTGTTGGGAATGCTTGGCTTCCAAATTTTGTGCTGATTCTTTTTTCTATTTTATTTACCCTTGTGGATTTGTGTATTTTGGGTGGGATTGTCCTTTATTGTGATTTTCGTGGAGTTTCTAGAGAGACAGTTAATGTGTGGATTCCCTTGGAATCTTTAACTAGGAGTTTCTGTTTTTTTCTTACTTCCCATCCGCCTGGGCATTTGTTGCCCCGACTCCACTGAAACAGCTCTTCTCCACCCATCACGGATCACAAATTGCCCAGAACAGTAATCAGTATTTTGTCTTATATGATTCATTGCATATTTTGATATAGCTGAGCCTTGACCTTTAAACACTAAAACATTTTTTATTTTGTTGTGAACTTGATAAATACAAGAGTACATAAAACAATCTAAGTTATGAAGCATAATAATATGATTATCTGTATACTCTCCACCTAAACTAAAAAATACGGTTGTTCTCATTGCTTTGCATGCTTTACGTGAAGTTCTTCCTGTTCATGGCTTCCCAGTATACCATTTGCTTTTTGATCCTCTCCTGCTTCACCAGCTACTCCTCATTCTCTTTTGTTGGCTGTTCCTCAGTCTGGGACGTTTCTTTTCTGTCTAT